CGTTGATAGAAGGCTTTGAGATCTGTTTTCAACGTCTAAATCCAACATGACTGAAACGACCACAAAAGATTATAGCACGAGGAGCGTTTTTTGATCTGCTCTGTACGTGGGAGCCAGTCCACCTTCATGAACTTTGCGCCAGTTTGTTTAAGTGAAGTTGCAACTTAATCCTTTGATTAATAAATCTGCATAAAAATGCGGATGTGAAAAGCGTTGATAGAAACTGTTTCAAATCCACAACAATCTGCGAAAATTGGATTAATTTAATTCAATTCCCAGAATACTCGAATATTTTGTTCCTCGCTCTTGTTTTGTAATTAGAAAGAAACTAATGACACAGTTCGTTCAATAATTGAGACATGATTGGTGAATATTTTGTAGAATACCGATTGACATGCGTGAAATGTTCCATATGCGAATCATATGGTGTTAGACCTAATACATCTAATTCTTACTTAACTATACGTCTAAATTGTTGTATTGGCGACGTTATTGTTCCGACTTTCGATATGAAACTAACGGAAAATTTGTGCTCGGGGTGGGTTTTTTTTCTTCAGGCAAATTTCGACTTTTTAATTAGCCATTTTTGACGGAACTTTTTTTTACATCATTCGAAAGGTATTGTTGTCCTGAGCTCAAATTTAAAAAGATATTTCACCTGTGAACATTTTTCGTAAAGTTACGGGGGTTTAAAGATTGCCATTTGGGCCAATTTGGGACAATTAACGCGCGATATATTTCGCGCTATTAACGCGTAAGCGGAGAATTAATCCGTCTTAGAAATTGTTCCAAATTGGTTAAAAGAAGCTTATGTGCCAAAATTGGTTTGTTATAAGGAGCGAAATCTATCCTTTTGTACTTTGTATGGCGTGTGGGGGGATGATTTTCATAAAAACTTTCAAATTTTAGAAAAAAAATTGATTTTGTTTTATTTCATTGATTTTTTAAATGTTTCTACTGCTCCATAAACCTTAAAAGGCAGTCGGAACATTCAGGGCTTCGCTTTGATACGAGCAGTCTTGTTGTGATTGTTTCTGATGAAAATTTGTCCATCATAAAAAAATGTTGGTTGCAGCGGTGAATAATGTTCAATACGAGGGCAAACTGTGATACGAGGCCACGCTCCCGAACACTGAATTGCAAATATTGAATCCCAATACTGAATATCAAACGCTGAATCCAAAATACTGACCTAACTTGGTGATATCTTTTCCGGACTCCGTCATCTCATCCCAAAAACATCTCTATGATTTGAACTCACGATCCCAAATACTGAAACTCAAATACAAAATCTCAAATACTGAATCTCAAAAACTGAATCCCAAATCTTGACCTAATCTGTGAATTTTGGATTAATTTAATTCAATTCTCAGAATACTCTAATATTTTGTTCGTCGCTCTTGTTTTGTAATTAGAAAGAAACTAATGACACAGTTCGTTCAATAATTGAGACATGATTGGTGAATATTTTGTAGAATACCGATTGACATGCGTGAAATGTTCCATATGCGAATCATATGGTGTTAGACCTAATACATCTAATTCTTACTTAACTATACGTCTAAATTGTTGTATTGGCGACGTTATTGTTCCGACTTTCGATATGAAACTAACGGAAAATCAGAAACAATCTACTGCTCCATAAACCTTAAAAGGCAGTCGGAACATTCAGGGCTTCGCTTTGATACGAGCAGTCTTGTTGTGATTGTTTCTGATGAAAATTTGTCCATCATAAAAAAATGTTGGTTGCAGCGGTGAATAATGTTCAATACGAGGGCAAACTGTGATACGAGGCCACGCTCCCGAACACTGAATTGCAAATATTGAATCCCAATACTGAATATCAAACGCTGAATCCAAAATACTGACCTAACTTGGTGATATCTTTTCCGGACTCCGTCATCTCATCCCAAAAACATCTCTATGATTTGAACTCACGATCCCAAATACTGAAACTCAAATACAAAATCTCAAATACTGAATCTCAAAAACTGAATCCCAAATCTTGACCTAATCTGTGAATTTTGGATTAATTTAATTCAATTCTCAGAATACTCTAATATTTTGTTCGTCGCTCTTGTTTTGTAATTAGAAAGAAACTAATGACACAGTTCGTTCAATAATTGAGACATGATTGGTGAATATTTTGTAGAATACCGATTGACATGCGTGAAATGTTCCATATGCGAATCATATGGTGTTAGACCTAATACATCTAATTCTTACTTAACTATACGTCTAAATTGTTGTATTGGCGACGTTATTGTTCCGACTTTCGATATGAAACTAACGGAAAATTTGTGCTCGGGGTGGGTTTTTTTTCTTCAGGCAACTTTCGACTTTTTAATTAGCCATTTTTGACGGAACTTTTTTACATCATTCAAAAGGTATTGTTGTCCTGAGCTCAAATTTAAAAAGATATTTCACCTGTGATCATTTTTCGTAAAGTTACGGGGGTTTAAAATTGCCATTTGGGCCAATTTGGGACAATTAACGCGCGATATATATCGCGCTATTAACGCGTAAGCGGAGAATTAATCCGTCTTAGAAATTGTTCCAAATTGGTTAAAAGAAGCTTATGTGCCATAATTGGTTTGTTATAAGGAGCGAAATCTATCCTTTTGTACTTTGTATGGCGTGTGGGGGGATGATTTTCATAAAAACTTTCAAATTTTAGAAAAAAAATTGATTTTGTTTTATTTCATTGATTTTTTAAATGTTTCTACTGCTCCATAAACCATAAAAGGCAGTCGGAACATTCAGGGCTTCGCTTTGATACGAGCAGTCTTGTTGTGATTGTTTCTGATGAAAATTTGTCCATCATAAAAAAATGTTGGTTGCAGCGGTGAATAATGTTCAATACGAGGGCAAACTGTGATACGAGGCCACGCTCCCGAACACTGAATTGCAAATATTGAATCCCAATACTGAATATCAAACGCTGAATCCAAAATACTGACCTAACTTGGTGATATCTTTTCCGGACTCCGTCATCTCATCCCAAAAACATCTCTATGATTTGAACTCACGATCCCAAATACTGAAACTCAAATACAAAATCTCAAATTTTGAATCTCAAAAACTGAATCCCAAATCTTGACCTAATCTGCGATTTTTGGATTAATTTAATTCAATTCTCAGAATACTCTAATATTTTGTTCGTCGCTCTTGTTTTACAATTAGAAAGGAACTAATGACAAAGTTCGTTTAATAATTGAGACATGATTGGTAAACATTTTGTAGAAAACCGGTTGACAAGCGTGAAATGTTCTTTATGCGTGTCATAGGGTGTTAGACCTAATACATTCAGGTTCCTACTTAACTATACGTCTGAATGGTTGTATTGGTGACGTTATTGTGATTGTGTCTGATGAAAATTTGTCCATCATAAAAAAGAAGTTGGTTGCAGCGCTGAATAATGTTCAATACGAGACCAAACTGTGCTTTCTGTGCATTGTAAGCGGATTTAGCAACAGGCTCAATTCGGATTTATCGCGGAATCCGCAATATTGCTACATTTCTTTGATCTTCTCTGCAGCTTTGGATTCCATAAACAAATACCTAAAACACTGCACCGTTCAAATTCGCTCCAACAAAGGCAACCGTATTTGCGAAACCCAGATCAGTTTGTGCAATCCACAACAAATAATAGGCCAAGTGTATAGCTGAATTGATTTGTTACAAAATCCGCAACTGTAAGCGGAATCCGCAAACTATAAGTGGAATCCGCAAACTGTAAGTGGAATCCGCATTTTGTTTGCGGATTTCGCTTACATATATGTATGTGTAGTTCAGTACATTCTCAGCATCCTCAGATTTGAATAGCTAACTCATGATTTCACTCTGTCATTTCATCCTAAATACTATCTTCATAAATTGAATTCACGCTCCCGAATACTGAATTGCAAATACTGAATCCCAATACTGAATATCAAATGCTGAATTCAAAATACTGACCTAACTTGGTGATATCTCTTCCGGACTCTGTCTTCTCATCCCAAAAACATCTCTATGGTTTGAACTCACGATCTCAAATACTGAAACTCAAATACAAAATCAGAACTACTGAATCTCGAAAACTGAATCCCAAATGTTGACCTAATTCGGCGATATGTCAACCCAATAATGAATCAACTCAATTACCGAATCAACCCAATGAATTTATTCGGTGTTGTGTTGCCAAAACTATGATCCCAAAAACTGCTTGCAAATACTTAAGAGTGACATACATCGATTTAGTTATTAATGTTTTAAGATTTGTTCGTGGATTCCGCAGACAAGGGTTAAGTCCTTGCTTTTAAGTTCCGCAAGTGCATATGCAAGTTCAGTATTAAACAAATTACTGAATCACTTTACAATTTGCGGAATCCGCTTACATTTGCGGATTCCGCTTACAAGTTTTGCGGATTCCATTTACATTTGCGGATTCTAATTACATTTTGCTGCGGAATCCATGTACAATTGTGGAATCCAGAAGAACTAGCTATATTTACTTGTTGCGGAATCCGGAACAAATTAAATGTGCCGACAAAATTCACTTACATTTTGGAACATATTTAAATACTTGTCTCTGGAGTCCAAGAACATACAGACGCAAAATTGTGCGCCTATCCACTGCACAATTTGGCCTCGTAATGTTTTTTTTTGCAGACGCATTTAATATAGTCGATTTTGGTAACGTAGAATTGATTTGGAGTGTGAAAAATGAATGTTGATTTCAAATCAAGAGTTTATGGTGCCACTGATTGTTGTTAAATAACATTATTTCATTGATAAAACTTTTAGAAACTCCCATTATTAACTTAGTGCATTTTGAGTTTTAAAAGCTGGTTGCAATTTATGCATGCCAATTAAAAACTACTCATTGTCGCTTTCGATTAATTTTCGCTTTCGACGAGCATAAACAGATCGCATATTAATTCTGGAAGACCCCTTCGGTAGTCATTTTCACCACATATTGAAGGCATTTTCTTGCCCACCGATATAAGTTCTCCAAAAAGTCAAGCAAGAATCATCAATTTTTTAATAAAAATTCAGCACAAAATTGGTGGCTTTCGCACAACTTGGTGGCAATGAGTTTTTTTTTTGTGGTCTGATGATTACTAGACTCCGCCCCCTCTCATGAGTACCTGTTGTAAGAAATAAGAAAATTTCCGTGACAAAATTAGGCTAACTTTTATTTTCCAGCGATATAAGGAAAATATTTTTTTCACCAAGCTAGGGCAAAACTTTTACAGTGTAATGTTTAGGTTATACTTGTATCATATACTGAGCTTTTTTCATTGAGATAAGATTTTATAGTACAATTTCTGGCATCAATCACTGCTCGGTGTGTTGTTGTGATCCTAACAGAATCGACACACCAAAAGTGACCGCACCGTCATCTGTAATATAGTCATCTAATTCGCGTTTAGAAACAAATTTTAATAGTCCCTTTTCCCCCTTTTCCAACTCAGGAGAAAAATCCATTTTGAAATCTTTTCTGTAAGGCTTGTTTTCGTTTAGATCTTTGAGGTAGATTGAGACAATCAGCTTCCGACCTTCTAGAAGATTCTGTCTGTCCGCATCTTTGTTCACCACTGATACACACACAGACACAGACTTGCCCGCTTCATTTCCAGTACCATTCAGAAACACCTTCGCAACTACTTCGCAGTTGAATGATTCGTCGATTTGATCAGATTTCAAAGCTTGTCCACAAACAAATGTTGGTTTATTGGAAACCTTCAGGTGAAAAGGACGAATTTTTAGGGCCTCGAATTCTTTATTGTTTTTCATCTTTTCTGCGAACTGTTGAAGCAACTTGACCTTCTCCGCCGTGATGTAGATCATGCTGTTTCTAGTGAACACGTTGGTCAGAATGGGAGTGCTCGCTTTCAATTGACCAGATTCAATTTGTTCCAGAATTGATTTGAGTTCAGAATTGAGTGAGTCTGAGTTCTCGCTCTGATTCTTTGAGAGCAAACTCTCGTTTCCAGATCCAGAACTTGTCCCCACCGGATTCTGATTCTCTTTTTCAAGAAGTTGGTTAGATTTCTGAGGAAAGTCAAACTAAAATCACAAGTTCAAAATAAATGGGCGAAATAAAACATTGAATCTTTGGATGACCATCCTTTTTTTAAAATAATTCCGGTTTTGATGACTGTATGTACATCGATAGAATTAGGCATCCTAAAGGTATAATTGCAATGTTAGCCACAAAACTATAATACAAAGTTTTACAAGAATATGAAACTTGTAGAAACAGAAAAGCCGGACCAACTTATAATAGTTTTTGCTTTTTTTTTTACAGAACCCGATTAATATTTTTGTATCAATTTAAAGCTAAGTTAATTTCCAAGACATTCATGAAACCTTGGGTACATACAATAAACGGGGACATTGCGCAACTATGGTTTAAAAAGACAACCTTTCGACTCTTGTTGCAAGGCGACGACGTTTTCAACTTAGGCGAATCAGCTGTCAGTCCTTTTTCAGTGTTTGTTGAACCATCCGGTGCAGAATTAGCGTGCTGGAAAGGAGCTCTGTATCTGCAGTCAGCCATTGGTAAATATACAAGCAGCAAGTTCAAGTAGTTTAAATAGTTATCTATATGGTCAAATGATTTAATCTAACTGTCTAATCTAACTAAAAGCTATCAACTCGAGCAGGTAACTCTGATTAGTTTTGTTGCTTTTTGGTTTAGAAGTTTAAGACTAATAATCCTAATAAGTCGACGAGTAAGGAGTAGTTGATGGATGTCACACTGTTCCAGCTATACATTTAAAAACGCATAAGAAATAAAGAAGACGAATGCAGAACTTGAAACAAAAGGATACGTTCCAAAGGTAGCGAATATAGTTTAAGAAATTGGTAGCAAAATTAAAAACCTCTCACACTTTTGTGTATTACCGATAGAAAATCGAAAATGAAAAGCAAAAATGGTTAATTCTGTCGACAGAACGAATATATGTACAAGCAACGTGCTTCAAGCATGTGACAACATTTAAAAGCTACCAAACTGAGCAAGAGACTAATTCAGTTTCAGTTGGTCTATAGCTATCATGCTATGTTTAGCTTGAGTTTCAGCTGAAAATTAAACATACCATAAGGCTACATGTAATCGTTTTTCTTTGGTATATTGGCTGAATTATTTTAAGAAGACAAAACAATCAAACAAAAAATTTAAATGCGTTTTTTTTTCGCCTATTTTGGTTGAGATTAAACTAAAATTTGTAGTGTGATCTCAACCGAAATTGAAAAAACGCATTCAAATTTTTCAATTTTGGTCGTTTCTTAGGAGATGGCGACAGTTCGTCGCAAGCAACCATTCGTAGCATTTGTAAAAAGCGAATATTCGCAGCACGCGACGACTCGTAGCATGCGACAATTAGTAGCGGCTTTGAACAGATGAAAAGTAATTGGGTAAAAGTGTTAAATTAAAGAACAAAGAAACTAGAAATTGAAATTGAATGAGATGCCCTCAAGTTGCTTGAGAATATTATTGTTAGTATAATGTTTAAGGAGTTCAACTGGTTTGACTTTTTTTGTATTTTGCAACTTTGGCGGCACTTTCTCCGGCAATTATTCTTGACAATTTGTTCTCCGATAGACTTTGTTCTTTTCTCAGGAATTGGATAAACTTGTGAATAGTGGGGTGAGTAAACCTCATCCCCATCTGGAAGATCCTATGCCATCCCTCCACCAAATTGTTGGCTTTCTGCCTTCCAATTTTTGCGTTTTCGAACTGGTTCCTGGCTGTCGAACCATTTAATTACTCTTATCTTTACAGTTAAATCATTTTAATTTGATACTTAACACAAAACTGGTGCTAATTCAAAACTAGTGCTCGACGGATTTAAATCTCCCCACAACCACCGCAACACTTCTTCCTCCATTAGCATTGTTTTCTAAATCCCCCAAACAGCAATTAATCGTGCTGCTAATTGTCGCTTGCTACGAATTGACGCTTGGTGAGAATTTTGCCTTTTAAAAATGCTGCGAATAGTCGCTTGCGATCAAACGTCGCCTCACGGTTTTTTATTCTAAACGTAAGGGAAAACAAAGATAGCTGGTTTTTGTGCAAGTAGCACCAAAGCTCAAACCATGGTCTGAAAATATTACAAAAAATAACAGTCGTTTTTCTCTGCGTGTGGTGATTCAAGGATCTGAAAGAAAGACTCGAACATAGGAACATTCGACTCTCATAGTAAAATAGGCAAATTTGACAATATTTTGAAGGAAAAATAAACAAAAAAAAATCAAAAATCAAAGAAAAATTTAGAAAATGATCAAGTTTTTTGCAGATGGTGGTAAAATGGCTGCAGAAAACTCAAACAAAACCTTATTTTAGTAAGTTTAGGATTACACAGCCTAAATTTTGGAAAAAAAACTATTGTAAGCCTGCGTGCTTGCATTATTCGCTCGATTTAAGACTAAAATTCAAAAGTTCTAAGCCTGTTTTTCTCAAAACTGGGACACTTTTTTAAGGTTTGTTTAGTGTCGTTCGATTCACGACTCAAAGGGTTTTCATATGACATTTTCTCATAACTATTCGTGGTTCCTGATTTTGTGTGGAAAACAAAAAGAAGAAAAAAGAAAAAAAACACCAAAACATACCCAAATACTAAATTCCTCTCCATTTTTCAAAGAATTGGAACAAAAAAAGTGTCTTAAAGGTACGCGATTTAAAAGTGCAAAATAATCAGCAAAATTGGGTCTAAATTTTATCATGGAAACCATTTTTTTTCTTTCCTTTTAGTCAAGAATGGCAAATGGAGTTTCTTATGTAGTCAAAATTTGACCTTATCCTTCTTTCTTCAGTTTTTTATAAACAGATAGAGATTGATTGCTAGTCAATACTTTGAACTTTTTTTCGATAAACTACCATTTTGCGTTTAAACACAAACTTTTGGAGATTATAATTTCTCCAAGAAATTTTTAAGTAAATAAACGGCTTTTTAGCCTTTTAAAAATGCTGCGATTAGTCGCTTGCAACCAATCGTCGTTCGCAACCAATTGCTGCCTCTAAGCTTTTGAAAAGGCTGAATGCTCCAAACTCAGTCCAAAAACACACAAACAAAATTAGCGTCGTTTTTCTCTGCGTGTGGTGTTACAAGGATCTGAATGAAAGACTGGAACTTAGGAATATTTGACTTTCATAGTAAAAAAGGCAAATTGCACAAAACTTTCTTTGAAAAATAAGCAAGAGAGAGTAAATAAAAAAAAAACAAGTTAGAAAATCTTCAAACTTTTTGCAGATGGCGGTAAAAACGGGGTTAAAAAAACTCAACCAACAATTTTATTTCAGTATTTTAGGCTTTCAGGGCCTAAGCTATGAAATAGTAGGGTGTTTTAAGGCTGCTTGCTAGCATTATTTGATCGAATTTAGACTAAAAATCAAAAGGTCGAAGCCTGTTTTTTGTTCAGTTTTTTTAAGTTTTGTTCGATTAACAACTAAAAGGGTTTTAATATCATCTATCACTCATCCATTCACATAATTATTTGTGATCCCTGACTTTGCGTGGAAAACCAAACAAAAAAAAACAAAAGAAATAAAAAACCAAAACACACCCAAATACCAAAGTCCTCCCCATTTTTCAAGGATTCGGAACAAAGAAAAAGTTTTTTTAGAAAAAACCCGAACTGATAAAGTGCAAAATAATCGGCAACAGTTGAGCTCAAAATTTTTCCATGGAAACCACGTTTTTGCTTTCGTTTATTTAATCAAAATGTTTCCCCAGGAATACCTGGTCAATTGCTTAGCAACTCATAGCAAATGGACTTTTTTAATATAGCCCAACAACATTTGAGCAGATTGTTCTCTCTTCATTTTTTTTAACAGATAGAGTTTTTTGATAATCATTACTTTAAGCAATCTTTGATAAAAACACCATTTTGAATTGAAAAACAAGTTTTTAGAGATTACAAATTCTTTAAGTTTTAAAGAAACTTTTAAGAAGCTTTTTGTTATATTTCTTAACAATTGATTGGGTGGTCTCAGCGCACTTTTTCATTGATTAAAAGTGGCACAATTTTAAAAGATTAAAAATATAGGCTCTAATTTTTGTGAATGTTTTACGTTTGATTTTGTGTAAAAAATTTGTGAGTTTTTGCTCTCGTCAGGTTGTGTATAACGTCAACTCAATTTTAAAAAAATTCGTTCAATTTTTTCAAATTTTGGCTTTTCCAAATTATGATATTTGGATTAGTGCAAATTGTCGCCTTTGAAAAATGCTGCGATTAGTCGCTTGCGACCAATCGTCGCTTGCAACGAAATGTCGCCTCTAGTTTTTTTAGTCTAAATGCAAAGGAAAACAAAGGTAGTTGGTTTTTGTGAAATTAGCACCGAAGGCTCCAAACCAAATCTAAAAAAATACAAAAAAAATAAGAGTCGTTTTCCTCTGCGTGTGGTGATACAAAAATTTGAATGAAACACTGAAATTTACGAATATTTGACTTTCATTTTAAATTAGGCATATTGAACAATAGTTTGGTGGAAAAGTAATCAAGAAAGAAACAAATGTCGAAAAACAATTTAAAAAACTTAAAAAATTTCAAGCAGCAGCTTGGCTTAATTGAATTTAGGCGTTCACGTCCTAAGCTATGAAAAAATAGGCTGTTTGAAGCCTGCTTGCTAGCATTATTTGATCGAATTTAGACTAAAAATCAAAAGGTCGAAGCCTGTTTTTCTCAATACTGGGACATTTTTTGTTCAGTTTTTTTAAGTTTTGTTCGATTAACAACTAAAAGGGTTTTAATATCATCTATCACTCATCCATTCACATAATTATTTGTGATCCCTGACTTTGCGTGGAAAACCAAACAAAAAAAAACAAAAGAAATAAAAAACCAAAACACACCCAAATACCAAATTCCTCCCCATTTTTCAAGGATTCGGAACAAAGAAAAAGTTTTTTAGAAAAAACCCGAACTGATAAAGTGCAAAATAATCGGCAACAATTGAGCTCAAAATTTTTCCATGGAAACTACGTTTTTGCTTTCGTTTATTTAATCAAAAGTGTTTCCCCAGGAATACCTGGTCAATTTCTTAGCAACTCATGGCAAATGGACTTTTTTAATATAGCCCAACAACATTTGAGCAGATTGTTCTCTCTTCATTTTTTTTAACAGATAGAGTTTTTTGATAATCAGTACTTTAAGCAATCTTTGATAAAACACCATTTTGAATTGAAAAACAAGTTTTTAGAGATTACAAATTCTTTAAGTTTTAAAGAAATTTTTAAGAAGCTTTTTGTTATATTTCTTAACAATTGATTGGGTGGTCTCAGCGCACTTTTTCATTGATTAAAAGTGGCACATTTTTAAGAGGTTAAACATACAGGCTCTAATTTTTGTGAATGTTTTACGTTTGATTTTGCGTAAAAAATTTGTGAGTTTTTGCTCTCGTCAGGTTGTGTATAACGTCAACTCAATTTTAAAAAAATTCGTTCAATTTTTTCAAATTTTGGCTTTTCCAAATTATGATATTTGGATTAGTGCAAATTGTCGCCTTTCAAAAATGCTGCGATTAGTCGCTTGCGACCAATCGTCGCTTGCAACGAAATTTCGCCTCTAGTTTTTTTAGTCTAAATGCAAAGGAAAACAAAGGTAGTTGGTTTTTGTGAAATTAGCACCGAAGGCTCCAAACCAAATCTAAAAAAATACAAAAAAAATAAGAGTCGTTTTCCTCTGCGTGTGGTGATACAAAAATCTGAATGAAACACTGAAATTTACGAATATTTGACTTTCATTTTAAATTAGGCATATTGAACAATAGTTTGGTGGAAAAGTAATCAAGAAAGAAACAAATGTCGAAAAACAATTTAAAAAACTTAAAAAATTTCAAGCAGCAGCTTGGCTTAATTGAATTTAGGCGTTCACGTCCTAAGCTATGAAAAAATAGGCTGTTTGAAGCCTGCTTGCTAGCATTATTTGATCGAATTTAGACTAAAAATCAAAAGGTCGAAGCCTGTTTTTCTCAATACTGGGACATTTTTTGTTCAGTTTTTTTAAGTTTTGTTCGATTAACAACTAAAAGGGTTTTAATATCATCTATCACTCATCCATTCACATAATTATTTGTGATCCCTGAC